TTAAATTGTGCTTAGTTTCGGACCCCGACCATGTGTGAGCCAAAGGCGCGCATTAAGGCAACTCCCGAGCGTTGCCTGCGCTGCTGTCCGCCGTGCTGCAATCCCTGCCTCTGCTGCCCGCCCGAGTGCTGCAGGCCCTGCACCGCCTACTGCATATTCGACCTGGAGAGTGCAGTGTTCGGTAGGCGAATGCGCCGTGGCATGGCATGCGGAATAGATTCTACAGCCTACTCGTATCGCCCTTAGATACCCGTCAGATCTATCAGCGCGCCTGCCGTGAGCTCCTGGCTAGCTATAATAAAACGCTGCCGGAGGCGCTGATCATGCGCAGCGCTGCCATGGAGACGCAGGAGATGGCCGAGCTGATCTGCCGCAAGTGCAGGCTGCCCATACCCTGGGAGAACTTCCTGGTGCAGCTGAACGAGCACACGTGCGAGCTGATTGGCAATCCGCCGCTAATCGACGGCGTGGAGCGTCTGGTCAACCACCTGCATGCCAATTGCATTGGCCTGGCCCTGATCACGTCCAGCAAGAGGGAGATCTTTTGCAAGAAGATACGCGGCAGGGAGGAGTTCTTCAGCCAGTTCGATCAGGTGCTCTGCGCCGATGAGTACAACCGGCCCAAGCCGGAGCCGGATTGCTATTTGATAGCCATGCGCCTGCTCTGCGATCCGCCCTGCGTCGAGTGCTGCCTGGCCTTCGACGGCACGCCCAAGGGGGTGCAGGCTGCCCGGGACGCGCGCTTGAAGGTGATTATGCTGCCCGACCCGGAGCTGCCTTGCTGCTGGTCGGAGCTGGCAACGCAGCGACTCGAAACATATCTCGAGTTCGATCCCGTGGAATTTGGCATGCCCTACCTGGAGCCGATGCCCGAGCAGCCAGCAATTATGTCTGGTGGAGAGAGCGAGGAGGCGGAAGAGGAAGAGGACGAGGGCGATCAGAACGACGGGGAGGCGGTTGAGGACAACGACGAGGAGCCACCAGCGGAAGCTTAAGTGTTTTGTATATATACATGTGCATACATATATACCACAGATACATACATAAATATATACATTTGCATATATATATAAATAGAATGTTTTATAGGTTTTTAGGGAAAAATTACAATTAAATTTCTGGTGCATTTCTGAAACATTCAACTGGAAATATTTACTGAGTGAAAATTGCCTGACTATCCACTAAATTATGATTACAAAATCTGAGAAAGGTAAATCGTAAAAAATTTATATTAAATTATATTATAATTTGATAAAGTGTATAATAATAAAATAAAAGTGTTTTAAGTATATCCATAAAAGAAAAATTTGTTTAACATACATTTTATTTTATTTTTTTAAGCTTATAAATTAAAGGCAAATGTATTTAATAGACTCATAAAATTTGGTCCGTTTCAATGCAAGTTAATAATTAAATTTAATTCAGTAAAACATATTCGTAATTCAAAAAATAAATTTTAATTTTTAAGGAAGCAACTCTATATTATATTGAGCCTATAAAGCAATACACAAAACGTAAGCAGCTAATAAAACTACCTAAATAAGACAAATGACAAATCTTCCTTTAGTTGCTATTGCCACAATAATTGCTATCATACATAATTAGCTAGTGAAGACAATGTCAAACTTCTAAGAATATCTCAGTCAATTGCCTGCAACATATTAGTATTATTATCATCTCGGACAAGTCTCTTTGGGAGGTAGAAATTCCAGCACTGGGCAAAAGCTTCAGCTTCGTCTTTTGCCCAAATTAAGGCTTAAATTTCAAAACGATAAATCAAAATTAATTGCTTAGGCAAATATAATATTTTAATGAGTGTCCGACTCTCAGTCCGTCTGTCTGTCTGTGCGTCTGCCAAAAGTCAATTGTTGACAATTTAATTATTCAGCATATTACGCATACGCCGTGTATATGTGGAGCTCTAGCTCGAGCAGCTGTAGCACAACTTGGGACTAGCAACTTTTGCCTCCACAACAACAACAACAACAAGAATAGAAACGTCTGTCTCAACTTATAATTACTTAATGTTCTAACCAGACTGTCGAACAGCTGGCAGGCCAGTCCTCAGCACCGCCTCGAGCCTTCAGCCTCAGCTCTAGCTCCAGCTCCAGCTCCAACTCCAGTTCAATCTCAAGTTCTCTCTCTCTCTCTTTCTCTGTCTCTATGCCGCGCATAAACGTAAAGTGAATAAACCTTTTAACAACTGCAACGGCGACGGCGACGGCAAGTTTGCTTTTTATTTTCGAATCATTATTTTTTTTAGCATTTGCGCCCCACTTCCGCTTTTGCCTAATGAACGAGCGCGCCACAGGAAGCACTCAAGCACAGCTAAAGAAAGGAGTAAAAAATATATATATGTATATGCTTTAAAGTTCAAGTTTTT